GAGAGCTGGACAATGACTAAGGATGACAAAAGATCAATCAATGTCTTTTGAGATGTGGTGCAGGAGTAGAGAAATGAATATACCATGGCCTGCCAAGAAACAAATCAGTTTGTCCTGAAGAGAGTAAAACTAAGTTGCTGTTTGGAGGCAAGGACTTTGAAGCTCCGTGTTATAGTCTGGACATATTACCAGGAGGTACCAATCCTTGGAGGAGGACCATGAAGCTTGGAAAGGAGGAGGACCAGCACAAGAGAGAAGACCCAGGATGAAATGGCTGATACAGTAACAGGTGTGCTGGAGACAGATTGGCTCAAGAAAGAACAGGGTTCAGAGTTACTGTGCATAGGGTCGCAATGAGTCACAGTCTACTTGACAGCACAGAACAGCGTTAAGTCATCTTCCCAATTTGGAAATAGATGGTGTTTCTTCCGACATTATGGTTATGTGCTATAAAGTCAGAACCAACAAACAGCTGACCCTCCAGTGGGTTTTCAGAGGCAGTAACACACATAGGTCCATTCTCCTATGAAGAAACTGATTTTAACTGTGTCTTTTGGGACTGTAAAGCAGTTTCTTACCACTAGGCCACCTGGCCTGTGCCCTGAAATAATGAAGTCATCTTACTCAGTGTGGAGAGCTAATGATGCTGAACACACTAAGGTCATCAAACAAAAAGACATCTGTGTTCTCAGCTCTTTGAGGAATATTCTCATTCAACAGACAAAAAAAAAACCCTTTCCTATTTTGTTAAACACACTGATGTTGCATTTTAGTAATTTAATTGTGCTAATGCAAAGGTCACATATTTCAAATATGCATACTGGGTTAAATAAACAATACAAAGCTATGCTGGCCTTGCTCTTATGTTCGTACTTGGTTTTGCTATCCAAAAGAAGTTGGAAGAGAATTTTTGCTTTTACCAAAAATGTAAAAAGCTAAATAAACTAAAGATCATTGTTTGTTCTGCATCAAACTGTTAGAGGCAGCATGCAGCCCCAGAGTCATGTCATCAAGAACTTTTTCCACTGTACACACATTTACACACCATATTAGCAGTATATTTTTTAAATTCCTACTTTTACCACATCTAGGGTTATCCAATTTGGTTATTTCTAGGTCTAGGACCACTCAAAATTCTTTCAATATAAATTGATGGTACTGTTTCTTCACTTTGTATGTCAAACTACAATAAAGTTTCACTGAAATGCTCTACTTTCAGATAGGAAGAGAATCTGTATTTATCGATTTATAATCATACTACGTAGGGTTTTAAAAAAATGCAAAACTAGGAAAGACAATGAAGATATTACCTGTTACCTTGTTTAAGAATGGGAAAAAATATCTCCTAGTATCTGTATTACAAAAAACTAATGATGACCTGAAGTCAGGATTAGAACAGATGGGGACAAAGTGCTATATATCCCCCTACTCTTGCTGACTTTAACCACTAAGATAAATCTAAGTACTGGTGACTCAAGTTCATCATGGTGAGAGGGCTATTTTTTTCAAAGGCTGATAGCTATTCAAAATGTAGGCACAGATTTTATACATTATCGACACTGGTACACATAACTCAACCAATCTACTCTAGAACTTAGCATTTACTCTGTACTTAAAAGTTCTTAAAGAATTTAGTTGAATGATACTTCACTCTGTTTAGGAGCCTTGGTGGCACACTAGTTAGGCATTCAGTTGCTAACTGAAATGTTGACTGTTATGTTTACATATTAAATCAAGTAGTGAGAGACTAGTCACTAGAATATTTGTATTAAAAAATTACAAGTGATGCGGCCCTCTGCCCGGGGCGGGCTGCCCTCGGCCCCTAGCTTGGGGCGAGCCGTCATGGCCCTCAGGGTGAGCTCCTCAGTCCCCAGATTGTGCCATCTGACCCCTGGGAGGAGAAGGAGGAGAAAAAAAAAAAGAATGCCTAGGGTATCCAGAGAATGTTATCTAGGCCACCTTCTGCCACCCTCTCCCCCAGTAAACCTGAAAGCAACACCCTC